GTCATCAACAAAACTGGACCTGTTAGTTAAGGTAAACTAGCGAAAGGAGCCAGCGAAAAAGCAAAATGCCCCTCCCAAGCTCAGTGTCGGAGCACTCTCTAGACGAGCAGGTCATGTCTGCTCGTCTATGTGCTCTCACCGAGATCACATCCTCACCGAGATCACATCATGGGGTTTTGTCGCTTTAGAACTCAACTTGGTGAAGTTTCACTGAGGAGTAGCTTTCCCTGGCGCATATCATTTTAAAAAAGTTTCTAGAATCACCATGAAATTTACTTGTTCCAGTCATGCGAGGGCCTGTCGCTTACGTAACACTTCGGCTTGATCTGCAATTGCGGACATAGCTCAATCCCGTTAGGCGCCCTGTGCACCTTTGCTACTGTAGAATACGGACCGGTGAGGTAAGTTAAATCATTAGCTTTACATCCAGTCTGGTAAAAATGACTTTCAAGTAAAAAAAAGTAAAAAATCATTGAAAATGAGAACTCATCGACTGTTGAAATCTAGTGCAAAGAGAAATATTGAGGGGGGGGGGGGTGGTCGAAGCAAGCAAACATTCTATGAGGTTAACGTTAACTCACCTGCTCAGCAAAAAGAGTTACAGCAGATTCCGTAGCCATTTGATGATTTCCAACGGTGCCTCTGAAATTAATTGACACTGGGACTCTTGAAAAATTAATGACTGGTATGGCCAATTAGGACTCAGTGACGTAAGAGGCGATCGCTCGGCTGTCTTAGAGTCACATTCCACGATGACTGGATGGGCGGAGATTCGTGACTATTCTTCCTCTCTAAGTGGTGAACCCCTCTTCGCTACAACATTGTGAGGAGAGCGCATCGGTGAAGTACAGTGGTCAAGAACTATCGACATGTCTGGTTATTCTGGTATAAGCCTTGGAGAGGCACTCCACGACAACAGGATGTGTCGATAGGTGATGGGGTCCAAATATGGTTCTGTAGGCGCTAAGGGCCTCGAAGAGTGAAGAACAAAGCAAATGATTCCATGGAAGACGCCATAAATGAGTCTTCTGCCGCACGGAGAGGAAACACTGGGCGCCCGGATGAGAATCAGACACCGTTGGTCGGGAGAGCACAGACATCTAACGTGATCGCTGCGGTCCCTGCTGTGAGCGTACTCAGGTGCAAGACTCATAACCTATGGAAGTCGCAAATGTGGCAGGCGCAGTTATCTGATTGAAAGGAGGAGCCATCATCGTTGGTGTGCGGGGTCAAAATGCGTTCATGCGTGTGAATATATTCAGAAAGTGGGCGGGATCGTTGGGAAAACAGGGGGCTCAGTTCAGTGTCTGGTAGGAAAGCGCTGATTGAGGGGGCAAATCATGGAGTGAGTCAGCTGCGTCTATACTCGGCAAGCTACGGATTGTCGTTGATGCGTCATGTGGCGCCTATGAGAAATAGTGTATGCATGGATGAGACGGAGAAGGGTAGAGCGTGGGCGAGAAGGAGATGGGTAGGGAGAGAGAGAATGGACTGTTAAAAAAAGGTCGTCGGGTACAGATGCAGCCCCACAAGGTGGACCGATTGTAGCCATATAGCGCTTTGTTGCGTCAACATTTGTTGACGCGTTCAGATGAGTGCATGCGCAAATGTGACCAATCAATAGAGTTCTTTGAATCGAATTTACCTGAAAACCAGCATGATCGCTTTGTCCTCATGATTAACAGCCGTGTAGCCACTACAGGTGTCTGTGGTATTTTTGTCGCATGGTACGGTCACTTTATGTAGCACCTAGAAAACAAATGGTAAGTGCAAAAATCAATACACGCGATCAATGCTATGTTCAATCAATGAGCAATTTGGTCCGTGGATATCCCTAGAATTTATCCTACGTCACATATCATTTAATCGGACTTTTCCTTCCAACGTTGGGACTCCTATCTGTGCTACAAGGTGGATGCATCAAGTTACGCTGCGTATCCCGAAGGTGAGAGGGCGTGGCTACAAACTCCGTTCAAACATACTCTAGGATGCGCTTTTCGTGGAACACTTCCCTTTGTAAACGAATGGCTATCCTGCTCTTGCACAGTTATACATAGGCATAAATACAATTGTCACAAAACTGCAATTATACATTCCTCAAAAGTGCCATGTTCGAATTAGTGACGCAGCCATGCCCACTCCATCTCCGGGATATGAGTACGCAAAAGGACTGGGGCTGTTTCGGGAACTCGGAACCCAGCTGGTAAAGGTTGTTCACTGAACTTCCGTTACAAGTTGAAGTTGTGGCTTGGAATTAGGAATGCTACACGCTAAAGTCCTACAGGATAAAGAGAAGAGAAGGAGACTCTAAGAGGTTTGGGTGTGCCCACATTAACTTCCGAAGTCTATGGACACTGCTTAGTTGGCGTGCAGGTGACTTAAACAGAGAGAAAGCCTGAGCGACGCTAACCCAAAGGTTTCTGTTTCTGTGATATCTGACGCCCATATGTACCAGCGATTACGATTGCGGTGCGTTTATTCCTCCACTTTGCTGTTTCGCCGTTGGCTGAACGAAGCGCTGAAATCAGACTTAAAAAGCACGTATCTATGGTCGCTTAGAATGGCGGAGGACCTTCGGGTGGGAGTGGGTGAACGGTCGATATAACCCGACGACTACTGTTCTAGAACAGGTTACAATTGTTGTGGTAGGAAGTGGCGCGCCAGGAAATGGAAGAGTCAAAGAGTTTGAAAAACATTTTTCCACGAGCCATATATGACCCCCTTCTCGGTGCACAAACATGCTTTCCCTCGCTACGTTGTGGATTCCTTGCTCATATGTATGCGTTGATTGGCGCCCCGGTTCTTTACCTACCGTATTAGAAGGAGGGGCGCACCAATGAGGAAGGCGCAAATAGTTTTCAGTATCCGCCCATTTGCTTATCGCGAAATGTGTCTTTGTGAAAGAAATACACCATTACATTCGAATCTATTGAGAAGTAGTAACTCACCGTGACATTCTTGAACGCCTTATTAATGCATATCCGTGGATCATCCAACTCGGTAGCAGCACACAATGGGACCACTTTTGTACGAGCGAATTCGTCAGAGAAACGTGCCGGTTTATCAAACACAGGCATTGAAATAGCCAAGCTGGTGAGCAGTACAGTAAAGATGATTTCCTTGAGCATCTTCTGGGAAGCGTAGGCGACGACGAGTTATCAGATGGGTGCAGAACGGAACACTTCCTGTGGGAGCCACTTCACTACGGCCTTTTATTGTCGTAAGGCGGTTCCTGACCACAGTTCGACGAAATTTCTCCGATAAGGCGCTGTCATCAGTAATGTGGGCTTCTCTGCCGTCAGAAAAAAAAGATAAGCACCTATCAGCGATGACTTTGGTAGATTACTCCACTCGAGTGATCCACTCGCAGCATAGTTCTAAGGTTGGCGTCGGCTAGAAAGCGTACTTGTTCTACTTCAGGTACGTGAATGGCAATGGGGTGTCCTGGCAGGAGGCGCATTTTCATGCGTAGTCATTTATGGTCAGTCTCTACAAGGGCGGAATTGTGAATCTGAGTCGCTTCTGACATTTCCAGCCTAAGACGTCATTAGATGTGATAAGAAGCTGACTAGTCTGTAGTCTTGGCGACGTACCAAAGGGTGAACGCACCACATGAATATCACGCGGGCGGTCGCGAAGCGTTCCAAGGGTTTGTTATTGTGCTGTGGTCGTGCTCGTAGTAATTTTTCCACAGAACGTCTTCTTCTGACTCTGTCAATTTCGTGACCTGACCTTTTCACCTGAATTTCGTGACCGTTTCTAAAATTAAGAGAAAATCACTGCTTGCTGATTTTGCTCATACTTTTCCCGTCCCCACCCCTCCCCCCTCTAATCCCTAGTTGGCGGTTGGGGGTGCAGCAACACTATTTACTTTTGCTGATAATTTATTGGTCGTACATGTCTCCTGCCCTCTCGCACGCAAAACTTGGGAATTCTTGGCAGCTAGATCATGAAAGGTGTCTGTACCATAGGAGAGAGTGGGGGAGAGGTACTAGTAGGGTACTAGAAGAGTGCTGATAGGGTACTAGTTTAGCTATTTCGCCCTCTCCGACGCTGTATCCTACTGGGAATTGGGTGTGGATCGTATGTGGCTTCCGAAAAGGGATCTACATTTATCTGAGTACGGGCGTGAGTTTAGGGGCTCGATCAGGTCATGTTCCGTCGCTGGGAAGATTTCGCAAAATACGAGCGCCTGCGGGATGATCTCCCCCCCCCATTCCCATCTGTCTACCATTTTATTAACATTTATCAACCTCCTACCACTCCAGCTCTCCAGTTTTCCAGAAAATCTGCCGTCAAGTGGAGGTGGGGTGGATATGTAATGCCCATGTGAAACGGGAAAACCGCCAGAAGTCAACAACCTGAAGAAATTCTCTAAGGCCAGATAAGACGCTCCCCCCTCCTGTTTCCTATAACGACAAAATATGACCTTCTTCTTCTCCCTAGCGTTAGTCCCGCGCCGTCGCAGGGTCCGCTGTTCTTGTTAGACGTCGCCACTTGTTCCGATCCACTGCATCTTCTGCCGTGGCTTTCACTTCAGTGAGGTCCTTCTTGATGACGTCTCCATCTTTTCTTTGGGGCTCCTCGTGGTCGCTTGCCCTCTACTTCGAGTTCCAATGCCTTCCTTATTGGGTGGTCTTCAGGCCTCCTCAGTACATGCCCATACCATCGCAGTCGCTGCTCTCGTGCAGCTGGATCGGAGCCGTCTGTGTGACCGCCTCGTTTCTGACTCTGTCGAGTCGTGTCCAACCGCAGGCCCATCTCAGCATCCTCATTTCAGCTGAGTGGAGCTGCCTTTCATGGTTCTTGCAGATGGGCCAGCACTCACTACCGTAGAGCATTGTAGGCCTTACTACCGCCCGGTATACCTTGCCCTTGAGAGTTCTCGAGCTTCGCGCGGACGCACGGATGTCCACGGATGCCAGTGGACTCCCTCCATTTCATCCAGGCTGCGCTTGATTCGGGCCTTCACCGCCTGGTCCACGCTACCATCAGTTGCTAGGTCGCTCCCCAGGTACTGGAAATTCTCGACCCTTTCGATGCTCTCGCCATGGCAGTCTACGATGGGTTCGATACACTCTTCGGAGCTCAGGAACTTGGTTTTCTTTAGGTTCAGCCGGAGTCCATTCTCAGCGAGCACATCCTGCCACAACTGCACCTCGTCTTGGAGTTCTTCCCTGCTATCCCCTAGCAGGGCAATGTCGAAGGGGCGATGTCGAGGATGGTTCTCAGTGGTCCCTCCAAGAGTTCTTTTGCTTCGGACATCTAGAGTCAGGGTGGAAGAGGAACGGCTGAGGGCTGATCCTTGCTCGTACCCAAACCCGTGCATGTTTACTCCTTCGTCAAGCCGTGAGGGGTGCGTATAGCTGCTTCAGCTCCGTCGTACATGTCCTTCACTATGGATGCTGCTCCAGAACGTTACGTTCTCTGAGCGCTCTCCAGAGTACCGGCCTAGGCAGCGGTCGAATGCCTGCTCAAGGTCCAGGAAGGCTAGGTAGCAGGGTCGCCGCTTCTGTCGGTACTTCTCCATCAGCTGTCTGGCGATGAAGATAGCATCAGTGGTGGATTTTTCCGGCATGAAGGCGAGCTGTTCCTGTTCCTTTGACGACCAAACATGACCGCTCCTTGGGGATTCCTCAGCGTACGACGTGCCCTGGGTTCAATAGCAATTTTGGCGCTGTTTATCGACGGGGGAGGGGGCATTCTGCTTTTCATAGATTTGCCAACCCGTCTACCGTCTACCAACCCGTCTACCTCGTCTTTTTTCGAGTTGACACGTTTTAGGATGGTGGCTAGACGATCTTGCTCCAGCTTCACAAGCGTTCACAAGTTTTACCAGAGTGAGATTTGTAAACCAGGGAAAGTAATCTATTAAAACAAAATGCCCCCTTCTGGATACAACCCCTCCCTCCACGACCGACATATTTTCCGCAGAATTTGAGGTGAGAGGAGATGGATGGTATTTGGACTGAGACTGAGGGACGGACGATGGGGATCGTGCTTGAAGCATGTGTGAAGTTCTGTGGTCACTATGTTTTCGGTGTTTTCGGTTAACAGGAGCGCATGTGACACAACAGTCTATGGGTGTCTGAGGATTATCGGGAAGTGACATTAGTGTTATCTGATTAGTTCACACCAAAAAAAAGTAAAGACTCGCCAATACTTATGGTTCGAACGGCCTGTTCACTGGTAGACGCCTGACCCTGATGTTCATAAACCCTGGAGCTCCTTCTCCTTTGGACGTAGGTGGAAATCCTCATTCCCACCCCTAATGCCCAGTTCTGTACAAAAGGTCTTTTTGCGGAGAATGCTCATCTCCATCGTGGGAAACTGTCTTGCGCAATAAATCGTTCAAATACCTGCCCAAGGTTATAAGCCCCGTTTATTCACTCCTGGCTGGAGGGGTCATACCTTCGGTAAGGTGCTGCATCCCTTCAACTCCTTCTGATAAGGTAACGAATCACATTTTCGTTGTCAGATGTCCTTCAACGTCAAACCCCTTGACCATTCCTTATCGGGATGAATACGGTAGTACTAAAATGTAATATGTGACAGGTTCTTCGTCTGGACATCACAAGTTGATCATAGGGAGACCTAATGGCTACAATTGGTATTTCCCCTCAATACAAAAAATTTTATGTACTGCAAAGTGTGCTAGCAGTAAATGAGTTTTTAGGTGTACAATTACTGAGGGAGGTGTCACTGTGATTGTTTCATTGCAGCAAGAAATAGCAATAATTGTAGATTGTCAGGTAAACAGGAGAAATTAATAGCTTTGGGAACAGTGCCTAGGATGTACCAGCTTAGGCCATTCAATAGAGCGTGGCAAGCCACTCTCCAGTGTCGGTGAATTTTGTCTGATCTAATCCGTCCTCAACGTTTAACAAATACCAAAACGCGTCATAGCGCACTTTTTGTCGAGCGGGGTGGCAGGGGAGTCTGCTTTCCATAGATTGTCGACCCATCTAGTTAACGCTTTCTCAAGCCTACCACGTTTAAGGATGGTCGCTAGAGCGGTCTTACACCTAGTTCTACAGTTAAAACAAGTTTTACCCATGGTGAATTTGAAAAACCGGAGACTAGGGAGCAAGCAGTAAGAAATGCCCTCCCCCCCCGTCGACAAAACAGCGCCCGCGTCATGAAATAGCCTGGGAAGCTTGGAAGGGCGGCCTTCATCTTCTGCTTGTATGGAGCCAACAATTCCGGAAAATTCGCAGTACTGGTGTGCGATGCTCGTAGGCTCAGCGTAGCTCTGGTTTGAAAAGGGGTCTTATGGGGAATGGGGAGGCATTCATCGACGTCTTACAGAACTAAGTCACAGTTGCCTCATTGAGTAGCCCACTCTATACTGCATTCAAATGCCACGCCTACTCTCACGGATAAGGAGTGTACTGTGTACGTGAACTGCGTCTAACCAAAAGCAGCTGATAAGGTCATTGAACAAAATACGCATACTTACGGCAGCGCAAAGGCACGCGTCGCTCGTTGCAGTTATGTGCTCTCCGCTGATAGATTTCCAGTGAACTTTAAGTCCAGAACGGCGATACGAAGGAACGGGTATTTCTGTGCCCACATGTTCTCAAGACGGAGGGTTGGGGGGGGGGGTAAAGCAAAAAGTAAATTCACCATTAAAGCCACGATTCCTTTAGCAGGAAGGGGGGGGCGGGGTGCGACGTTCGGTTACGGAGGTCATTCTCGAAGTGACTGGTTGCGTCTGTAAGATACATAACGCGTTGACCCCAAAATTCGACTGCTTTACCTGCAACGCATCTCCAAGGCATGCCGAGATTACGGAAAGGACTCCACACTTTGAAGGAAAAGCTCAGATCCAAAAGCATTTTCGGAGCTAGTCGGTCTTGCGAGAAGTGAGCGAGAAAGGGGGAGAGGCGTTCGCTTTCACTGCCACTAGTTCCATCTGATTCCTATAAAAACTTGTGAAGGCTTGCGCCATGGATAAGTGATTCATTGGTTGCCAAGACGGCATGATTCGAACTCACCTTTGGGACGAGTTTTCCTGCTCGTCGCGCGGCTCTTCGCGCGGTGAGGCGGTGCGGCATGGGGCACTGAGCGGACCTAACGACACACTCGCGGCGGCGTCTGGGACATTTCCGGGCTCTTTGGCTGCTGCGGTGATTGATCGAGTTCTCGGCGCGACGGGATATTCGCCGACCGAGATTCTTCGCGCGCGGGCGGAACTGAATTTGCGATGTAGTGAACCGCAAGGCGAAAACCTACTGACACAACCACACCTGCTGGGACGTCGCTTGACGAGGTTTTCGCGCGTGAACCGGAACGACTTTTTCTGCCTCGTCGCGCGTGGCTGCTTCGCGCGGCTGGTGTATCGCGCCGTAGGCGGGTGCACAAACTCATTGCAATCTCATTCAAACAAAAAAACTCATCCTAACTAACTGAAGCACGACCTTTTCCATATAGTATGACGACACTGATTCTGGCGTGAGAATATTTTCACCTTCACACAATTGTTGTCATGTCTCTTTCCAACGCAGAACAAGATGACAGTTGTCCCGGACTGAAATATTTCACGAGTATCAGTTCCGTGCCATGTTCAAATGCCACGCCTACTCTGACTCAGGGATAGGGAGTGTATGTACGTGATTTATTGCATGATCTTTTAAGTCACCAGAGAGACGTTTTTCAAAAAAGCGCTCCGTGACCTGAGAGGCATTTCGCTCTTTTCAGGTGAAAGCCGAACAACTTTGGACTTCCCAAGATGAGAATGGCCCAAACAGGGAGAGACCAATCAGAAGGGTCATACATTTCCACTGGGGAGAGGAGATGCGGAGCGTGAGTAGTGGGCGTGTGGGGGGAAGGAAGGGAGCCGTAAACTGGTTGATGTGTCGTATCTGTCATGGCAATATAGTTCCAGAGTCGTAAAGTTCTTATCGGTGTTTCATATTGACGCTCGGGTTTCTCACGCTTTGAGCGTGTCATATGTATTCCCTCATAGTTGCGGCGCCGTTCAACTCCTATGCAACTGTTACTTCCGATAGTTCAAATCAGTGGTCCTTTGATATCCTTCCCCCCACCTCAACGCAGTCTTCTGGGGAACAACGAATATTTTTTGGAAAACTTGGAGGAAGGGGACAGGGTGTGGTAAAAACTCAGAAATATGTGAGGGAGAGCTGACAATAAGATGAGAGGAATGGGCTGAACCGGCGGAATAAATTCCCTGGCGGAGTTTGCATCTTAATACAGGCGCTTTCTCCCATCCCGATCCAGTACTCTGGGCCTGAAGAGTCTTATAGTGTTTAATCACATATCATTGGTCCGTTTTTCATTTCACTCTGAAGTAGGAACTTTCCGGCAAGGCAAACGCCCGCTCTGCCCTTAACAGTGAGGTCAGACTTGGCTTACGCATGGTGGTTCTCGGGAGCAGTCCGGTGACGTGCGGCCGGGGGGCATTTTGCACTTCCGCAGCTTCACTAATTCCAGTTGACAAGTCTCACTCGAAACCTGTGAACTCATGTAAGCTGAAGCATGTTCGTTTTCGCAGCCACTATGGTAAATACTTGCATAACTTCAAGAAAAGGCACCCTCTGGTACGGATACTGTGAACACGTTGATGGGAAGTTTATGTGCAACCCCCCCCGTCGCCCAAACTGCTGCTGGCACCTGTATCGCACTGGTGCCAGTGAGCCACGAGCTAGTTTGTGAGTCGCCAGCTAGTCTTTCATTGACAAAACCATTAGTCCGTTTTATGTGCGATGGACTGCGTCAGTCGCCAGTTCCTTCACCATCAAAGCATCTAAATAGCATTTTATGGTGTAATTACACCTATAAACTACTTAACAACTTCTCTAAACATTCCGAATGTGGGTTTTATGGGGATGCAGGTGATTTAGTATGTAAGCGTGATCGGTCACTCCACCAGTCATGCCACAGTGGGTGCTTGTCCATGAAATAGGTACTGGGTACGGTATTACCCGTCCACTTGTGCTCCCGTTGATCATCGAGTTGCTCGAGCGGGCGCCAGCAGCGTCTTTATTCATCCCTGCAACGTGCTAGAGTTGCCCAATGGGTTCTCTCTGCTCGAGGGACACGATGAACTTCATACCATTCGTTCAGAGCTTTCACGAAGAAGTCTGACCATCGCATAGGCGGTCGTCCAGGCGTTCGCTTGACATCCCGTGGAATCCAGTCGGTGATCTTTGATCGCTCCAGCGGTCGTCCTCGAAGCGCATGACGTGCCCAGGCCCACCTGATCTTTGAAACCTTGGCAAATGCGGCTGGCGTCTCTGATGTTCGATCGTCGGCGGAGTGCGGAGCTCCGGATTCCCTCTCTCACTTGCGTGTAGCGGGAAACTCCGAGCATCGCCCTTTCGATGGCGCGTTGAATAACGCCGACCGCATGCTCATCCTGCTCTCGTAGGGTTCAGCACGGAGCCGGGTGACATTCATTTTTTTCGCTACTCCCTCAATGTTGTCGAATGCTCCCCAAGCCGCTCACCTCCTTCTCGAAAATGCGCACTTCCCCGGATACCGAGCTCTCACTTGACTCCACATGTCCTCCCCTTCTCCTTTAGCTTCTCCTTATTTGACTTTTCTTTTTTTCAAGTTTAGCGTAGAAATGGAACGCGAACAGCCATTAGTCAGCCAGTAGAAACGAGGCAACACGATGTCTGGACACGCCCACGCAACCAAGTGCCGAAACGAGACCCAATGAAAAATAAAATTTTCTTGTGCCGCTATAAATTTTTGCAAATACGAACCCCCTCCCCCCATTCAGAAATTCGTCTACCGAACTAAGGATAGGCGCTCGCTGAAACAGGATAAAGTCTACCACCGAAAAACAAATCCGCGCCGCCCCGGAATGCGACGCTCTCTATCCACTCCAATAACGCACCCCCCCCTTCCCGACCGCCGCGAAACGTACGGGTGTGGTCCTTGCCGTTCTAACCTCCAAGCCGTCCATTTCAGCAGCATCTGTCTGACCTGTTCTGCGTTGAATGAAGAACTGCAAAACTTCTTAGAATATAGAGATACCCTCATGTTGCGCGCAAGTCTTGTGGCTCAAATTAACCGATCACCTCTCGCCCACCTGGTTATTTCTGTGTGAATGAGTTCTCAAGTAGGTCTCAAACGTTGTTTTTCGAATTTGAGGGTTTATACAACATACACACCACTGACAGCAAGCTATAATATGCACCGAGAAAGTTAAGTAGGACTAATTTTATGAAAGCCTAGCACAAGCAATTCATCCGCTTTGTAATGGTCAAACGGAATTATACTATAAGTTAAGAATATATGCACACGCTTCAAGATATGACTGCACATCAAATAGCCGTAATACGTGGAAATCGAGCGCGGCGGTCGTGGAGCAGTCTGACGCTGACGAATCGTCCTTAAATGAGCTCGAATTCCACGAATGGTGCTTGTTGTTACTAGATTTGTGACAGAAACGAATAAGTTAAGCAAAATGTAAGAGTAGCATGCCGGTTCTGGTATATGTATTATTTACAGAATTTTATGAGTACATTACTGAACTAGAAAGCGCAGTAAAATGGAATTGATAGGATAGGCATGAAAGAAGGGCAGAGGATGTCATCATTACAAGATTGAGGCGTTTGCATTAACAGTACTTATGATTGAGCTCTTACGGGGTACGAAAGAAGAATAAGCGATTATACAAAATGAATTAGCGTAATAGAAAAAGTTATTTACAAAATTTAGCACAGGCTTACAATTTGGCTCTTCACTTATCCACCAACGAAAAGCTGCAAAATCCTCTCCAGCTCCTCCTCTTCTCTACGAGCTTCTTCTTGTCGTCGTTCTTCTTCGTCGCGAGAAAGGCGTAGTGCTAACGCAAGTGGATCTTCTTCCTGCAACTAAATCAATCGGAATAGTTCCGACTGAAGTCGCATTTATAGTTTTCGAATTTGGAGATTCCACGATTAGAGAGAACTCCAACCTGGAAAAATTGCCGACAGAAGAAAGGGTGCAGTTCGGCTTAGGAGAAGCCTTGTATACTTTCGCTACTACCCATTGCCGTATCATTGTTTTGCTTTGAGTGGTATCACTTCATGACCTCACCAAATTCCATAGATCACTTTCTAATAGTTTCGACAATAGGAAGGCAGCAAAGCAGAAGAACTGCCCCCACCCCCCAAGCCGAACTGCGTCAAAGAAATAATAGGTATCGATCCAGGAATTTGCAAAATCAGAGAACGCCCGAGATAGAAGGATGCGCAACAAAAATTACCTAGGAATCGATTGACCCTGTCGAATAGCACATTCCAGGATCGCGGATTCCCCGAAAATATTGTTGGGTAGAGTCATTCGATTCTCATCACGATCGCGATCATCTGAATGAGAATCTTATACCACGCGCTGATCATAGGCCGTGGATTCCCTAGATCCCGAATCGAGGAAATGAAAAAGAAAAGAAAAAAAGAGAAAAGAATCTTAGGCCGCGTTCATAGCTTGCGTTCGTGAAGAAATGCAGAAATGCGGAAAATGCAGAAGTGCGGAAAGTGCAGAAGTGCGGAATCTGCAGAAAAGCAATAGATACTTATCGACTTGAAGAAATGCAGAAATGCCGAAAGTGAAGAAGTGCGGAATCTGCAGAAATGCCGAAAGTGCGGAAAATCGATACGTATCGGTTGCTTTTCTGCACATTCCGCACTTTCGGCATTTCTGCAGATTCCGCACTTCTTCACTTTCGGCATTTCTGCATTTCTTCAAATCGATACGTATGTAATGCTTTTCGTCATTTCTGCACTTTCCGCACTCTGCAGTTTCGGCATTTCTGCATTTCTTCAAGTCGATAAGTATCTATTGCTTTTCTGCAGATTCCGCACTTCTGCACTTTCCGCACTTCTGCATTTTCCGCATTTCTGCATTTCTTCACGAACGCAAGCTATGAACGCGGCCTTAGACTCGCACAGCCGCGATAAATGCAGCTCGGGAACTCGCCCCAAAGCGAGGAGCGATTTCGCTTGGAAAAATCGGGTTGCGGCAGTTTTCGTCCAGGAATACTGTCCCCGATGGTGTAGTAACAAGTGGCCCGCTTACAACGCGCGCCGTCCGTCGCTAAGCAAACCTTCTACCCTCCGGGGATGGTAAATTGGTATGAGATCCATGTGGGAGGATAACAGCAGTGACTTGAGCTGGCCGTGGCAATTTCATTGTGGTAAATTGGTGAGATCCATGTGGGAGGATAACAGCAGTGACTTGAGCTGGCCGTGGCAATTCATTGTGCAGGCCTAATCGCACCCAGTTGTCCTCTACGATTCTCAGGGGAAGTAGAATGCGTGCACATCCAAAAAGGAATTGATTGATGGTGGCAGTTCTATCCTTTTATCTTCTCCCAACAGTCTCAGGGCACATCTTCAGCTGAAGAGTCGAATAGTAATGAGCACAGAATTCAATTTAGACCGGGAGGGGTGATGGGTGGGGGAGCGATAACTAAGCGTTCGTTCATGAGAAGGTCAGGTCAGGAAGCATGTAGAGCGTACCGTGACGATGAAGAAAATTTTCAGTTACGATTCCCACAACGACTAAGTACGACCTTCGTGCTCCTACCATATCCTTAACGCACGTCTGGCAGTACAACTCAATCATGGGCGATACTCCTTCAAACTCCTTTGTACTTACCTCCTGTGGAATTTCTCCAGGTGACAAACCAGGTTCCCCTGCCATTCTTAGACTTTCATTGATGGCTAGTGCGATTTGTCTTTTTTCTTCGGCTTCCTCATCGTACAATGGCACGGCATCAGGTGGGAGTAGTTGACCTCAAAATGGATTAATAGATTTGGAAGAAAGACAGGAAATGACCACAAGTAACTGATTGATTACCTATCGGCACGTGACCTGGGGAAGCATCCTGGCCGGAGTTGTCACGAACGCGGAAACTTTCTTGAATTGCAAGTTGCAGAAGCATCTCTTCCTGTTGTTGCATAGATGGATGATCTAGAAACCCTTCTCTTCTACAAGATGATGAATAATGAAAAAAAGAAGAAGAAATGAAGGAAAACGCACATATAGAAGCTGCACCGCCTTGCAAACTCGACATATCCTGCTCGTCTTCTGGCCACCACAAACCTGCATTGAGATCGTCAACTGTTCTATAGGAGGGTGGTATGGTGAAAACATCGTCGTCAATTGCGACAGCTGTCACTTTGAATCCGGACTGGAAGGGGGATAACATTCACGAAAATATGATTGAAAGGAATATCATCTTACCATGGTCTCCAGTGGCGTTACAAATGGTCCTGGCTCATTAATTTGACCGAATGTGATCTTTGCACTGACGACGTGGAACAGCGGAATCTCTTAAAACAAGTATTTGGACGGTAGGTTGTTCTCATCAAGGGAGATATAACGGTGAGAGTCAAGGAGGTCGTAGGTAGGAATCTTCAGCGGGGGGTCGAATTTGTTCGCCGGATGGAGGGGTCGTGCTTGCCTTCGAGAAAGATTTCAATGCGTTACTTCTCTCGGGTTTTTCCTATTTCATGTGCGCTATTCGCCCTGCCCCCCTCTTCCGCTGTACACTTTTAGGAGAAAAAGTTTGAAAACGTGTCAAGATGATGGGAAAATCTAGGGAGATAGGAAGTTGGGGGAGGGTTGGAAGGGAGGTGGGGATGGGGCTCGAGTTTCGCAAAAGAATTTTCCAGAAAGTGCTCTGGTGAGAGTATAGAAGGGTCACAGGGTTTTCCCACTTAAGGCTGCGTTCATACCGTGCGACGGCGTCGTCAACGTCGACGATTTCGACGAAAGCGACGAAAGAGGCGAAACCGACGACTAGTTCCCGAAGATTGTATACGTATCGATCCGACGTAACGGACGAAACCGACGATTTCGACGAAAGCGACGAAAGAGACGAAAGCGACGACTACTTCACGAAGATTACATACCTATCGATTCGACGAACGAAACCGACGAAAGCGACGATTTCGACGAAAGTGACGAAACCGACGAAAGCGGCGAAAGCGACGAAAGTGGCGAAAGCGGCGAAAGCGACGAAAGGGGCGAAACCGACGAAACCGACGACTACTTCGCGAACATTAGATACGTATCGATTATCGAAAACGACGAAACTGACGATTTCGGCGACTGTGCCAAGAATTAGCTTTTCGTAGATGGTTTTTCCCCACAACTTTTTCACTTTTTTTAATTTATTTCCTTTTCTGTTTGTAAACATTTTCCCTATCTCCTTCCATCCTCTTGAGTGACCTTACAACCTATCTTCTTCATTTTCGAGAGAAATACCATGAAATAAAAAAATGCCTTCTGGATTAGATTCGCGGGCTCTCCAACTACGGGACCTCCTTCACGACCTGAATAAGAATTAGTGCATTGCAAAAAAGGGTGCTGGTGATGACTCATCGGCGTACTTGAAGCGCAAATCTAGCAGCGAAATTAGAGTGACACAAACAAGATATGTATACGTTATGTACGAGCATCGAGAATCAAAAACTGTAAGATTTTCAAAAAACACTGACAGGACTTTCCTTCCAACCTGTATATACTGGGAACCACATCGATTCCACGTAAGCCACGTGAGGTTGTAAGGTCACTCAAGAGGATGGAAGGAGATAGGGAAAATGTTTACAAACAGAAAGGAAATAAATTTTGAAAAAAGTTGTGGGGAAAAACCATCTACGAAAAGCTAATTCTTGGCACAGTCGCCGAAATCGTCAGTTTCGTCGTTTTCGATAATCGATACGTATCTAATGTTCGCGAAGTAGTCGTCGGTTTCGTCGGTTTCGCCCCTTTCGTCGGTTTCGCCCTTTCGCCACTTTCGTCGCTTTCGCCGCTTTCGTCGGTTTCGTCACTTTCGTCGAAATCGTCGCTTTCGTCGGTTTCGTCCGTTACGTCGGATCGATACATATATATTCTTCGCGAACTAGTCGTCGAAATCGTCGAAATCGTCGACGTTGACGACTCGTCGCACGGTATGAACGCAGCCTAACAGTTTTCTCAGAGGAAATGAAAAGATATAGAAAAGGGTTCACGTAGAAATACCCAGGAGACATGCTGCAAAGGCAAAATAATGTGGAACTTGAGGGAGTTGGTTGAGCGCAACTGCGGGTGGGAAAGGCTACGCAAAGTGCGGCTAAACCAGATCCTCCTCGCCCCTCACGGAAATATGGATTCCTTCATTTCCAAGCTCATTCTTGAAAGAGCGCAAGCGTAACGAGAACGTAGTCGTGCCGCACGTGGCCCCAGGGTACGGTAGGGCTTTCGCATTGAGGGGGCTGTATTTGGTCGCTAGGAAGAAGCGGCGTGTTTGCCTTCAAGAAACGTTTTCAGTTGTTGACTTACATATGTTTTTCCCTGTTTCACCTGTGCTATATACCTAATTTATCCCCCCCCCCCTTCTTCGCTAGCCAGACGATAAATTTTGAGGGGGAGAGGATATTTGCGAAAATTCTCCTCAACGACAGCACCTTGGCAACCCACCTCCCCTTCCCCTATTCAACTACAGTGACGTCGAAGATTGCAAAGCTATTTCATACATAGCACAGCGCCCAAAGAAACATTACTCTACTTACGCGCCCAAATCTAAATAAATATCTATAGAATCATAAAACAAAAAGTAAACAGCAATAAAAACAAAAGCGAATGAATGCCCACCAACCGATCCTAACTGGAAAGCCGGCAGGCAGCTGCATTCTTATGAAATTATGTAATCGAGCAAAATGAGCACTATTCGCAGCCATCAAATCCACTATAGGCATTACTTGATCCTAAAAAAAGCTCAAAATTTTTCACGATTAAAAATCGGGGGAGCAGAAGCACAAACCTGGAACGAAAGCGGATAATTCTCAGCTAACCATAATGTGGCTTTGAAATTATTTGACTTCTTCGTAACTTTCTTAGGTCGACCTTAAAAAATGTTCTAGTAAACTGATTGGGACTCAAAATGAAGCAAATAAAGATAAGTACGACGAATAATAACAAATAATGAATCAGCTCTTTTCCCAACTCACCAATGTCTCCATCCAAGGGAAAATCTTCATCCAAGTATTCATACACTGTTAGTCCCGTATCTAGTAGATTTTCTGTCGTCGACTCTTCACTAGTTTCTGATCGAACAATTGTGCTGAGGAGATTTGATAGGAGATTTGGATTTTCCTCCTAAACAACACTGTAAGACAAAAATTTTGAATAAAATTTTCTGAAACGCTCAAAGCCGCAGTTCTTCTTGATGGGGACATTTTGCTGGTTCATATCGATCAATGCCAATGCCTTCTATAGGTAGAGACCTGAGAACCCTTGTAGTAGCGCGAGCTTAGGTTAGGTTGCGTTCATACTTTGCGTCAGCGTTTTCAGCGAGTGCCCGCGAAAAGCTCAAAACGCCGATGCTAAGTGGAACGCACTCTCACACTTGACAAGGATTTACAGGTCTCACCAAGGTGGGACGTGCAACTTAACAGGAGTTAGTGGGGAAAATTAGCGAACTAGGAACGTTAAACACTCCCATCTCAAAAGCCAAACGCATCCAAAAGACATTTTGAAAAACAGCCTTACAAGGGTCAGTGGGCCTTCTAAGCATTAACGCAAAAAAAACGTCAAATATAGACCTGTCTTGCACGAGCCGACTCTTCTTCTGACAAATGTTCCTTGCGAGTTTTGGTGACCAGATTCACATTTGACGCATTGAACACCTAAAGAGTAAATCTTAGTGAAGCTATTTACATGAGAATCCAGAATTTGGCACGAAGTGGGAGTCGATCTTGGCACAAAAGGTCAGAATCGAGCCAGGAATTGACAGAAACAGAATACGGCGGTAGCGCACCCCATTCTACCTCCTAGTTGGTCTATTCTCAGTTAGAAAGAACGTGCAGCTCAAACGACAGACATATGACCACTAGAGCGAAAGAATGGCCCGAGATCTCGGTTCTGGGCTCCGGCTCCAACTAGTTCGTCTCATATACTGCATTGCTTAACCCTGGAGCCTGTCTGATCCTTTCATATCCTCGCACCAAACGGTGGCGGAACTAGTTCAGACCACCTTGTGAAAACCTGCAAATTCCTACCAAAACCACTCATATCATTTCCAAAGTACACTGCACTATAGGTCCCATCAGAGTGTAATTAGTAGCTAACATGAATTAGCGAAAGTGCAAAATGCCCATCCCAAATCGAACAGCGCCTCCACCCCCTTTGTTACTTGAGACACAATGCCAGCTTTCCTGCAGTGAAAGAAAACTGGTTACTCAACTTCCGCAGCAAGACAGGACTTGATGGGAACTAGGCAGGATCTAGGGCTACGCAAGGTCACGTGCGCCGAGCTAGACAGGATCTTTGGCCACTTTTACCTCCCATTTTTCCTTCCTTGATGTTCCTATGCTTGCCTTTTGAGCCGCCCTTCTATTTCTTGAAGACCCCCCCCCTCCAGTCTAACAAAATGACTACTCTTTGAACTATGAATGAGCAAACCTTGCACTCATAGTCATCGATAGTCTCCGTTTTCTCTGTACTACTTATCCAACCAAGTAAACCACCACGATATGATCGCTCGAAGCCAATTTTGTCGACATCAATGAACGTCGTTGATATGGGTGATGACATTCTGAATCAGCTGATGAATGCGAAAAAAATCAATCAAAATATAAGCGTTTCGGGATTTCATCATGGCAGAACTTACCGCATATCTACAGCTTCATCAGATGGAGTGAACTCCTCTAGCGCTTCATCATCGTGGAGAGTTTGCCTAGTTGCCTAGAAAAATTATTGTAGGAGGTCCTTCCCAGAGGTCTTCGAACGAAGTAGTATAGAGGGCGTAGTTTAAGAGATACCGCGCAAAGCTTGCCATGGCACAACTGCTTTGGTGCCAATGTGCTTTTCTAGGTCAACTAGTCAGGACTACTAGCTGATCCGGACGCGTTCAGAGTTCGTTCGTAATGACGTGCGTATAGCTCTACCATTTCAGTAGCGCATCAATGCCGTAGACAGGAACGTAGCCATAGTGTCTCTCCTGTACTCTCCAAAACATTAGCCACAGTGTGCCATTGCGCCGGTCGATACCACCGGCGCAATAGCACACTGTGGCTAATGTTTTGGAGAGTACAGGATAACAGAAGAGTCGGTACATAGCCTAGTGCTCTCATATTCTCCTACAGTCTTCAAAACACTGACAAACAGCCTGATACTATCCAATTCTCCTACACTTTTCCGCAACACTAGCAGTAGGCGCCGATCCATAGCGGTTTATGACTGAGTTCCCGTCTCTGGCATCGGAGTGGTATTGCAGCAGTAGCGCGACGGCGCGCTTCATCGCGAATTCTGAACCCAAGCTTAGCGCGCGATCCTGCGATTCGTATCTTCCGAAGCCTTATTTTGGAGTAGCCAACAGTATTTAGAATGGGTTGTAGAAGAAGCGAATATTCATCGAATTTCCAGATGTCCGGAACAGGTAATTCACAATTACTAGCAAAACTAAAACCGCAGTAAATTTCAAATGAAATCAAAATACAGATGGGAAGAAAATTGAAAAAAAACACGGCATTGGGTGCGCCCCTGCCCCCAACACTGAATCGTAATGCCAAGGGTTTCATGTCGTTCTCGAATTTCAGATTTTTCCAAGTTTTTCCGAGAGTAACTTTTGAATAACTCCAACTGTTCTCACCGTTTTCGACTCATGATCGATGATTATGAATTCTGGCAAAGAGTTTTCATCCAGTCGAAATATATACGTTTGGTTTCCCCTTTTCCAACTAGATGCTTCAAATCCCACTAAAGTCGTGTCAATCCGTACTTTAGAACCTTGTTTGTATATCTGTAAGCATAGAAAACTTCATAAGACAGACTAAACAGAGGACGGACAAGACAATCGTAATTTGTCGCGTTGCCGCGGGCGCGTACCGCGCGCCCATGCGCAGAAGTAATCAATGGGCATCAGTTCGTCGATTGGACCCGCGAGATACATATGAACTCAAGCGAAGACAAGACTCCATGACGGACGATATTGAATTTTTTTCATGCCCTTAGACACTCATAATCGAACAGTCACGCAAGACATCTCTTTCAGGCGCGACGTCGCTCGCCACGCCCACTGGCGCGGCATATTACGATTGTCTTGGCACATACACAGGAAAACACAATATTATTTAGGCGCTCTAAAAATCACCTTGTACGTGTCAGAAGGGCACATTCGACTGATAAACGGCACCCAGCTTGCGAACTCCCAGCCCATTTCGCAATAAAAGTCCGGAGAACCCTAGAAGACAGCTCATCATAGTACCTATTGGAAGCATGGAAAACCAATGAAAAATGAACCTCTAGTGTCTTAAGACAGTCCTTCATACTATGAGCACCTCGAACACTTCGTTGATAATCACGATACATTATAACATTTTTGACTAGTTCAGGATCACCATATGATATCGCTTCATGACTCACTGACCACATTCCTATAACAATCCGGTACACTCGATGAAAAAGAAAAAATCTAAGAAGGAATGAACACCTTTATTTTGCGCATCTGCATTTGCCCCTCGTTTCAGAAGTTCAAATGCACACTGTTTGTGACCCATCGTTACAGCAAGCATCAATGGCGTTCTGAAATACTCCTTTCAACAGTTCAGCCTCTCTCAAGTCGTTATGGACAGAATCGGATGCAAATGCAGTTAATAAGGGGGAAGCGGAAACAAGAAGGCACTGTATCGCCCCCCTGGATCAAGCTCAGCCTTAGAGCCCATTCATACCTCGCAATCGCGAAGTATGAACGCGCTCTTAGATCGGAGCCAGAAGATCCGAGTAGCGAAATCAGCAAATATCACGTGCATTTCTGCAATCGCACCAGTATAGAACTGATTAAACAGAAGTTCTTTAACAAGCCGGGTAATGGCTCGGAAGTAGCTGGAGTGTGCCACATTGTGGCGTGACTTGGGCATGCACGTGACTCTTACAATTGGTAGCCCTTCCATCCCTCATAGCGCGTTCACACTTCGCGATGCGATCGCTCAAATCGCTCGAGCGGTTGAATCGCGCGACCAGGACCCGGGTCAATCAGGCTGTACTGTAGGAACGCTGCGTATCTGAACTCTGCCGTTGCGGCGGTCTATCGATTAGCACAAGAGCGATCCATCGCGAAAGGGTGTAGTTACACCCTCCAATGTTACCGATATTACCACCGAGTCAACTAGCTACGAAATGTCGCGAGCGTCAACCTGACTCAACTCAGATTCCCTGACCCGCACCCATCGCAAAGCATTCGAGCAAACAACCAACACTCCGCGGCCGCACGCGGCACATCGCGTTCAACACCAATGCCTTGCCGAATGGATATGGGTAGACTCACTCTGGGAAGAATACTTACAACATTATATAGACTCCACTCACCTCCCACGACAATCCAGTTTTTCTAATTGATCTGGCTCCGATTCGTCTAACACTTTCTTAAGTTCTTCTACATCATCGAGATATACGAGTCTATGAAGAGGAAACTCCGCTTCCAGTAGACGGGTCATCGCGCTACACAGCGGGCGAAAACCCTGCAAAAACGTTATTACAATCAGGGATTTCGAAGAAGTCGTTGACGGCGAACAGAATCGTAGGCGGCATAATTGCGGTTACAAAATGTGACGCCGTTTTAGCAAGGATGGGCATTTGAAGTACTAGGTGTTCCTGAACCAGTGGAAATGAGGGTTTTCGCCTGAGTCTTCGGGCGAAAACCCAGCGAAAGCGTCCAGGGTCAAAGGCTACTCCAACGAGGGGAGGGGAGGAAGAACTTCAAAGCAGCCCTCTGGAGACCCTCCCCCCCTTGGAGTCCCGCCAAAATGTGATTATTGAAGAATTCAATATAAAAAACGTAAAGGTACCGCAGCCAGAAGGGGAAAGAAAAACGAAAGAAATGATGACGTGCAGCTGAAAACACAGATATTTGACGCCACTCTGATTTGCATACCACTAAATTACATATGCGCCGTCGAACGCCAACAGGTTTTCGGGGCTTCAAGTGGGCCAGATGGAAATTCTGCCATCAATGCAGAGTGCTAATGTGGTTGAGCTAGGCCACGCAGTGTCCCTGCGTTCCTTTCTCTATCCAAGACTTAGGCCTAGAGTACAGACGACCAGAGCCATAAGAGTGCGTTCATACTTTGCAACCGACGAGGTTCGACCATTTAGGGAGACTCACTGATTTGGGTGATTGCGCAACGAGGAAAGTGGGTATCGATCCGGCGACTACAGATTTTAAACGATCCAGCGATTGGGGAGATTCAGCGTTCCCGGCGATCGCGCGCTAAAGGAGCGGATGAGTACGATCGGTGCCGGTCGCTAGCGTTGGCGGAGATAGGTTTGGCGATCTCCCACAGCGCCGTATCGCCTATCATCTCAGTTGCAAAGTATGAACGCGGCCTAAAGGTTGTCCATTCTGCGAAAATAGCTTGCGGTGACTTTTAGTCCTATGCGCGCTTAGCTTGAGCCTTGATTGGCTAGGGGGAAGGAACGCAGAAGCATTGCGCGTAGCCCAGCTGAACTGTTTTAGCAACCACTCTAATGAATGCTAATTTCGGTATTAAATCAGAAATGGAAGGGGGCTGAAGTATCCCGAGAACAGGAGAGGATTGGAGGCATGCGAGCAGAGCGCAGGCGACCAGAGTCAGCGAGTCTCGTAGATCAGATAGGAGAGCCTAGGCAATTAGAGACGGCGAGTTCCCAAAGCAAAAATGTCGCGCCGACGCATACTCCCCTCACTTTTGAGCTAAATAAAGCGCGAAGTATAAGAGACACATTGAAGATCGCAAAACATAAAAATGCATATTAATCGCTGAAATCTTGGCACAGAATCTAATTCACTGAATAGTGGGATAATGAAGGAAAGAATCGTCAGGAACTCACAGACGACTGGGAGCGTAAAGGCTGCCAGGCGCTCTTGCGATGTCTGCGCCGCAGAGCCCAGGCAGCAAAAGCACGTGGCATAAGCGCCAACCTTGCGCGGGTACACTGTGGAAATGGAATAAACCGGAGAAAATGAAAGGAATGAAACGAAAAGTGCAAAACATGTTTGCCAAGCCACCGCAAGAAGGATAAAAGTTCGTTCATTTCCAATCAACAGAACCACCTAGCAGCCTTAATATGCACCGAGCCAAGGTCCTCACTAGTAATAACGACAGTATTGAGCGCCAAGAAGAGAGGATGGACCGGATATTGTTTACATCGATCTTTTTCGTCTGTTGGAAGGGTGGTTTGTACAAACACCTGACATCCCAAACGCGCCTCATTCACTGCAAATGTTAATAAAAAGTTCGCCTATAAAAACTCTTGCGGTCGATTGGGCGCTTCAAGCTGAGAAATTTGTTATTATTGACCCTTACCCACCAAAAGGATGGAAAAAGCTGGACTTGCTCCTTCGAAAGCCTCGCAAAATGGCCAAGTTCAAAGCTCAGTAGAGGTCAGGTCCCGCAACGATTGCTTGTGTACGGTAGCAAGGCATCAAGCTTGTACGTATAGTATCCGCTCGCGAAATGCATTCCCATAGCTGAGGAAGTTCTTCTCTTGATTAGCTTGCTTTCTATCATTTCCGCATCGAAATCTACAGCTTCGGGGACGATACCGAGGAAAAACTGTCAATTTCCGACAAATTCCCTCCTAGGCTGAAATCTGTGAGGTTACCAGTACGTATAAGAGATCAACGTGACGTTGGTGCTAACGTATTTGAGCGGGAGGGGGGGGGCAACGCCACACGGCAAGCAGTTTCTCTGTTCCCTCCTCGCCGAGATAGTATCCCGCGTGTTTGGTTGCAGCCAGTGAGGGCTCTTCCGTGGCAATTGTAAATCAGTGGATGAGGATTTTTGCCTATCCACACGAGGCAAGTAAGTTTTGGGGGGGGAGGGGTGAACCCATCCCTTTAGGCAAAGTGATACTTTGAACGCCTTGGGTGCTCCACCGATCCTTAAAGTTGACTCTAATAGCACCCTATCAACTAAGTCAGACGGAAAATTGGCAAAAAAGCCATGCTTTTCGTGAGTATATAGTCCGTTTCGCTGCGAATGAAAGGGCGTGTCCAGTTGGCTGCGCTTGGTACGCCGCGAAATCCATTCACAACTTGTTTGAGCGGGTATGTGGCAACAACTGGTGAAAAACTATAGCTGCGCTTCGGTCGCCGAAAGAAAAACAGGAAAAAAGCTGTTTGGCACCCCTCCAAACGCACCAACGCACGGACGGACAGGCTCCATCATCTTGCAGCGACGAGATTATCTACACCTAACCTTTCTGTTCGGAACTGATCCATTTTCAGCTCAAAATATGCTGGAAATATCCCATGGGTTGTTTCAAACACTGTCTTGGCGAAGAGGGAGCAGGAGGGCAGCATACCCCTCCCAAATATTTCAGCACCGAGATTACTTGACGTATAGCAGGATCTTCAGCATCAAAGTTTATATTAATAGCTGTGAATGCAGCTCGCAAAATCTCAAAGCCATCCTCGATTGCCTGGCGCCGTGCCAGTAGAATCCGCACGGGACCGGAATTGCTGGCAAACGGCCAGCCACGATCGATACCCGATTGCGATGCCCCAGCTCTCAGCGAAAACACGTGCCAGGCCAGCATTCACTCTCGCTCTCTGCTGCTCTGCGTCTCAGCTGTTAAAGTGTGCTGTCTCTAGCTTTTTGGGCTGCGTCTCTAAACAACACGTGTTCTCTGGTGACTGTCTCGTCGTCTGCGCATCTACGTCGCTCCACTATGTCGTGTCTGGCCTCGGCGGCTGACCTCCGCCGTTTACATTCTCTCTCTGGTACCGTCTGCGCGGCGGTCGCATCCTTCCTCACTTTATTTCTCCTCTTCACTTACATTTCGAAATCCACAATTTCCATTCATTGATGATATAGATTGATCGGGCTTCAGTTGATAAATCCCTGGACGAGTTACTATTCCTAAGACGACTATGATCCCGCCGAAAATCGCTCCTTACTGGTTGGTCCATCCAGGGGCCAGAAGTTACGTCCCGTCGATGTTTTTTGGTGAAGTGACTGTCTACGATTGGAACATCATCCAAATTGATTCTGACAGGGTTGGATTTGTTTTTGGAAAGTCAGAGACATATTTGGATGATACGTAATAGTTGTGAGTCAGTGCCATTTTTCACACACACCGGTTTTAGGGCAACTGTCGTCGACTCTGCAGAATGTTTGTTTTCATAGTGAGGCCGGCATTCTGCACTATTGGAATTTTTTCAGGCCTCAGTTGGTGGAAGATTCTCACACCTCAAAATCTAATCAGACCGGAGAACATCGGGATGTGGGGGATTTTTTCTGACTACAACATACCTCCCCCACTTTCCTTCAGATGTAGGTTCCACATTCATGATGGACCTGAGTCAGATGCAGTTGTTCTAAGTAACCGAACAGAACGCAAAGCTAGAGTCGAGTCTATTAAAGGAACGGTTAAAAACTGATATGGGTGGTCCCGCTAAGAAAGAGTATCCAACGGGTTTTAATTCGTAGCTGTTGCAAATATAAAGTTGATAGTTTGGCCAAAACACAATGGTACCGACATAACCTGACACATTAAGCGATGGAGTCTCCAGAACGTCGACAGGGCAACTCGTCCGGATCACTGGCAGGGGTTGTTAAGGGACCCATGGCTCAGAAGCAATAGCATCGATGCCATTATAGCGGCTTTGTAATGTACCTGCCTTCAAATTCATACGAGTTTAAACAGCTTTATCGCTCTGCGTTTCGGCGCGATCGCCTTCTTTATACCATTAAATTGTCGAGGCAGACCATGACCACAGCAATATTAGTAGTCAGTAATCCGAACGAATTACTCTAAATGGAAGATGAGTTGCTTGGCCCGTCATGACAATCTCATTGCCATCTCATCACGAGCAGCTTATTCAGTGAAGATCTTGCCGCTGGAGAAAGATAATCCTTCCCCCCCCCCCACACACACCCTTTGTAAGCTTCCTCCGGTTGGCCCCCATCCTCAGCGTACGTACGTCTTTCTGGATTTTCCGAACTTCCACCGCTTCTCCTGAATTTTCTCCGAAATTTCTCAGCTCTTTCCACCTTTCCCCAAGAAAATTTCGCCTGGGGCATATTGCTTTTGAAAGAGGAATGGCCACGAATCGTCAACGACCGAGTACATTCTTCACAAAAGCCAATACCACCTTCCCCCCAATCCATCGATCATATGCGAACGACATTCCGCTGGAGATACCCATAGTGTCAGTACTGATACACTGCGACACTTCGTCGCTATGCGAAACCCTTTTCAGAAGCCTTTTTTCATCTCTTAGAAGGAAGTCTTGTTTAGCCCCCAGAGGACTTTTTTCTCTTGCTGATCTTTCTCGTTTTCTCGCGTCACGATGGGTCATGGCGTCGTCAGTACGACCTTACCCCGCTCGACGGCAGCATTTGGATATTGGGGTGCCAAGATTGTTGGGCTGGGCATGCTTTCTGGGTCCCTTCTCCTAAGCTTAGGTTCAGAGCGACCCAGACCAGGGCACGCCATTGCGTTGTGATAAATT